TTTTAAGAAAATCGAAGATTTTTATAAATAGCTAAAATTTTAATATGATTTAAAATTTTAAAATCAAATAATCAAATTAAATTCAAATCCAGTTTTTTTAAATCAAATCAAATTCAAATCTAGATTTTCAAATCAAATTAAATTCAAATAAGTCTAATATTTGATTTGATTTGATTTTGAGGAACCTAACAATCAATTTCTTTACCCAAAACGATCCTCTACTTTCTCTACACAAGTTCCCCTTCTTTACCTGCCAAGTGTTACTCATTTACTATATATTATATATCCTCTTTGTAGTAAAAAGATATATAAAGTATGTCTTTTCCCCCTTTCTGAAATTCTTAAGTTCCTACACTTTGCTTAAACTCTAATATTCTTTAACTCTTCTTATCTTGTAAAGTATGATATTCTCTCTCTAAGGTAATTTCTACAGACAAGACTTATCACTATTCTTATATTAAATAAAGTTATTTTATATATTGTTACTATCTCAAACTGTTTGTCTGCTGCTATATAGTTAAGTGAACAACTACACCTCTACCCCATATATATTTGCAATAGTCAATTACTGTACTAAGTGATCTTATTACTTGGTTGTATTTTACTAAGAAGGCTACAACTCTGTAACAATATATACTATAGATACTTTAATTTCTTATAAAGAATATATTTTAGAAAAGACAGATACTGTAAATGTAGAACCCCTTATATATGATCAAGAACAGCAATTTATAGTCTTACTAAAAAAATTTGCTGACTTATTTGCTAAAGATATTACTGAATATAGTAGAACAGATGAAGTTAAATATAGAGGTGTGGTGACTTAGTGAAGTTGTTAAGTTGTCACACCGCCAAGCAGCAGAACAAGAGTTCGAATTCAACTAGCAATGAAATTAAAATTTAAGAAATATATTACAGCAGACTATATGTAATCTGATGGATCATCAGATCTGTAGCTTTGGTCATATTAGCTTGTACTAGAAGAATGTAAACTATAATGTGATGCAAGAGTTATATGAAATCTGAGTAAAACGTTTATATAAATTCAAGGGCTAGGCACACAAAATTCTGCTTGACAAGTTCTGAGTAGAAAGGCAATACAAATCTTCAATAATACTATATAAAGAATGATCATCGGTAATCAGACACCAACAGTAAACTGGATGAGGACCAGGTGTTTGGCAAGACACTAATACCAATCAGGCCACATATATATGGAGGTGGCACAGTATAGACAAGGAAAAAGGATTTAATCAAAATACCAAGGAAATACCTACTGGTCCCTCTCTGGACTATCTGAATTGAAAGTTTGGAATGCTGTTAGGGACGTGTCATTTATCACCTGATTTTTTAGAGGGGGTCTGGGCAAAAATCAGGTTACACAATATAATATATATAATATATATAATATATAATTATATATATTTAA